GATCTTCCAGTATATCAACACTGTTGTAGATTTAATTTATTATTTCTGTGATCTTGTCTATGCCAAAATCATCTTAGGCTGCCAGCATCTCTATTACAATTCCACCTGGCTCTGTCGCTTTGTTTCTGTTCAATTTAGCCAGTACAGCTTCCACTTTGGTTTTTAATATTTCCAGTCCATTGGTATTTCTGTGTATTGCCAATTGTTCTCTTTAGAGGAGATATCCAATATATTCATTCGATCTCTATAGTATTTTTTTTCTCTAATATCAGCCTTCCATCCTTGGATTTTATGCAGCCGGTTGATGAGCATGTCTTTTGTCTTGTTAGTTCCCCTTTTTTTTAATCATACCTTCTTTATCTGTGATACTCATTCTTTCTACTTCTGCACATTTTTCGCTGAGCCATTCTTCTTTAGCGTGTCTGCATTTGTTCCTTATTTCATTGTGTAGTTTTCTGTATTCCATTCCATGTCTTGGCATTATTTTCTGTCTCATCTGCATCATGTCTAGAATCTCATTTGTGATCCATTCGTTTTTTTCTTCTTCGTCCATTTTCCTTTGGGATGATGTTGTTTGCTGATATCACTAAAGCTTCTCTTAGTGCGTTCCCATTTTGAGTTTCCATTTCCATTTTGTCCCTCATATCTTTTCAAACTGTCCATATATTTTCCCTTCAGGTGCAGGTCATTAGGTAGTCACTTCCACAGTCAGCACTTGGATAGATTTTGCAGTGAACGACTGCATTCCTAAATCGCTTGTTGATAGTTATATAGTCAGTTTGGCTTTTAGTTTCTCCTCCTAGGCTTCTCCATGTCCATAATCATCTTGGATGTTCTTGGAATCAGGTGTTAGCTATTACCTGGTCAACTTTGACATTCAGGTCTCACATGATAATTATAATTTTTTGTGATTTACACTGAACCTTGGCATTGTCTAGCATGGAGTAGAAAGATTCAATTTCTTCTTCTGTACTTTGTGCTGTCAATATATACACAGTTATAATAGATATGTTGAAAGGCTTTCCTTTCAGTTTAACTATAAGAATTCTTTCAGATAACTGACAGTATCCCAGGTTGCATTTCTTGATGTCTTGATTTAGTATCAGTTCAACTCCTTTTTCATTTTTCTCTCCACTTGCATATATAATTCTGTGGTTGTCACTGACAAAATCTCTGTTGTTTGGCCACTTAGTTTCACATACACTTAAAATGTTGACATTTAATTTATGTCCTGTTTTACATTTTTCAACTGGCTACAGTTGTTTAATGTTCTAACGTTCCATGTCCTGAGAGTTATTTTTGTTTGATGCGAACAATCACTGGATGATGGTCAGGTGACACTTGTTGCTTCAGGTGAGGGATCAGTCCAAAGGATTTTTATCACCTTTACGCCATTTATGCTAATAGCAACTACTTTTTGCAGAGAAAGACAAGTTTTACAATTAATATCGACTTTTATTAAATTCTTGAAAAGAATTCCAAAGAAAAATCTGCAATGTTATTGGTTCTGACATGGCATCTCAGCTTCAGTCACTTTCCCACCACCATAATGTAGCTTTCCTATGCCTTTTCTATAAATACTTTCATGGTAATTATTCTGATGAACTTTCCTCTATGTACAGTACTAGATTGGCACCAAGTTCTCATCAATTTACAGTTGAAATAGCTAGATGTAACTACAAGTTCTATACTAAAAGTTTCTTCTATTGCACTTCTCACTTGTGGAACTCTCTTCTGGCTTCTTGCTTCCCAATCAATTTTGATCTTCAAAAATTAAAATACAATTTCAATCGTTAGCTTCCTGTTCTTTTATTGTTCTCACTCCTTAATAGTTTTGTTTTTCTCATATTCTGTAAACCCCTGCATCTTAGTGACTTTATTGCCTTGCTTGGGGTGAAATGATTAAAAAAAAAGAAAAGATTATGGTGTTTTTGTTTTAAGTGTATAGATTACAGTAATGTTCACAGAACTGATTTCCTGGTTAAAAATTGATAATTTCACCAAACCATTTATAAAAAGTTAAAAATTATAATAGGATGCTTTAAAAAAAAAAAAAATACTTTTTATACACTTCAATGATTTCATAAATTGATAATTCATTATTTAAAATTGTAAATAATCTCATTTCATTTTTTTTTTTTTTGCATTATTAAAATTTGTAAATGACATTACTTCATTCATATAAATTTAAACAAATAACCCACAGAATTAGTAAGAGCACATTCTGTTGATATTTATGAAGGTTATAAACTCCATTAACTGAAACTAAACATTAAGAAATAGATGAATATAAAAGGCTGATTCATTTACAAAGAAATAGTTAATTTATATGAGTGCTTTGTAAGGTCACAATGACACTTGAACTTCCCTAATAGTTGGCCTACTTCCAATTCTATACAAGCATTCTAAGATATCAGGAGCCCTGCACAATTTCCAGCTGTTTCACTGTTCATTTCCCTCCTATTAGTTTAATGTTTCTAAATATAAAGAAAATAAGAGATGACATGAAAAAGACAAAAATCAGTGTGAAGTTAAAAAAAAAAAAACCTTAATTATCTGCTTCACTGCAAAATATTATTGCATTCAAGTTCTGTCAATATGTAAATGAAAGTTTTCTCTCAAACTGTCCTTTTCTGCTGACAGCCACAGCATGCTGAAACAATGGTTCCTTTTTAATCTCCAAAGTTAAGCAATGTTGAATCTGGTCAGTACCTAGATTGGTGACCACTTGACTAAGTGCTACAAGCTTGGATGTGTAGACAGTGTAATGGGTAATGACACAGAATTGTTAATTGGAGAGCTGAGTTTCAATTCCAGTTGAGTTTGTGAAATTAATTTATTGACAAACACACTTGGGAAAGGTATGAATCCATCTCTTCTTACCCCAGATATGTAAAACTTGTATCACTAAATTATTTTTATCTCCCCCTAAAAAGATTCTTACACTCTAAAAATATTTTCTGACTAAATAACCTGCAAAGGTTTGACAACAAATCAATGTCCTTTTCCGTTTTTGCACTTGCACAATATGATGATATTATGACTATGTTAACGCTTATATTGGTATGGTAAGGTAAAATTTATCTTCCACCAGCCATTCTGATAATTGGTGATCTTTGATGTGATAAGCACTTTATCTAATTGGAAGTTTATCTAATATTGGGGGACTTCCCCAAAGTCTCTTTATGGCATTTTGAAATGTGTAATAAGATTTCTATTATTTTCTATTTATCTGGCAAGTCTTTAGCAATGTCCAGATTAACTACAGTTAATTGCTGAGCTAACTTTTTTAATGATTGGTACTTCATGCATGCAGAATCTACTCTCCATAAGCAGAAAAAATGACATACAGATAAAGTATAAATATAAGTGCGTTTTACACTATTTACATTATTCGGACTATCACCCTCATCTTTGTTGCCATATTTATCACAACATCTCGGCCATTATATGCTCCAGACTTCTTCAGGTGGTTGGAATCTCTAACTGAACCCTTTATTTCACTCACTGGGGTAAACTATTCTAGTTCTACATGCCATGTCTAATAGATGTCAATTATCTCCTCTCCAAGTTCTCCACTGCCTTAACCAGCTATTGAACTCACATTCTTTGGGTCCTGTCACTGAATCTAACTAACGCCTTTATCCACTGTGCCATGTGTCCTTGAGGACATCTGTGTATGAATTTCTGGGACTTATAAACCTAATGTCACAATGTAAATAGTGTACATAATCCCTCATCTCAGAAATATAGACAGATACTGAAGTCTGTTTTACTTGTTGCAAAAAGCCTTTTGAGTGAGTTCTTTAGAAGCCTTATACATTTCATTTTTTTTTAAGATGTCATTTGCTTGAAATTTGTTTTCCCTGTCTCAAATTTGGCACCCAGTCATCCTTACCCTCTTACTACTGTAGTTAGAAACATTTTATTATTTACCATGGTCCTCAAGAGAGATGAATTAATATCCTTAAATGAGATAAATCTGCCCTGTTCTAAGTGGAACCTATTTTGTACTTTGCTCAAATTGAGGTATATTGCAGACAAAGAAGTTTGTGTTAACAGCAACTAGGTTGCAATACAAAGTATCTATGGAAGCAAGATATATCATCTCTGTATTGGTAGACAATCCCTTCACTAAGTTGAAAGAATAAACAATTTTCAGAACTTCCACCTCTCATCAGAGAAAATTTTTACAGCTATTAAATGAAGAGATGATGGGAAATAGTAGGTCTTTGCAGTTCTTTCATCCTTTACAACATCTTGAAGGTATGACAGAATTGTGCATGACATATTTCTCCTAGTAGATTTCCACACAAATGAGAAGAAGACTACCCTGAAAAAATGATGAAGATTGAGGATAACAATACAGACTTAATATCAACACAAATGCCTTCCATATCATGTGTATGTAATTCTGAGCTAAACGCCCTGACCAAAATGTTGTGAAAACAGTAAGCTGGACAAAGTTTTCTTCATCCACTCTTTGTTGTCCCACCTTGAGGTTGAGAGAGAGGAATACAAATCCAGTATGTTATTTACACAGAAAATATGGTAACAAGGGCCATTTATATAAACCAATTTTTGAGAAATCCCAAAGGAAAACTTAAGCTGGTAGTGACTCAGTGCACCAGCTACGAAGAAGTGTGCCATCTTTTATTTGTACATGACTATATAACTGGAATTTCTTGTAAACAATGCTCTAAAACTTCTTTAATTTCTACTAAAGCAGATAACATGAAAAAGCCTTGTAAATTTACACTTCAAGCCATTAATAAGTCTCTTATGGACAAAAATGTCTGTCCCTGAAGGATTTCAACCCCCTATTTATAATTACAGACATGGATGCTAGTTTTTTTTTTGTTTTTTGCATAAATATGATTTTCTAATTGATCTACGCAGACAATGTTTGGTGGATCCTGAAAATTACATAACGTCACTGGGTCATATTTCTTATACCATCCCATTATAATGCCCCATCCATGGTTAATGGGTTTACTGCCACATCACATTGAAACACAGGTTCCTTTATGATCACCAAAGTTAATCAATGTCAGGCCTGGTCAGTACTTAGATGGGTGACCACTTGGGAATATCATGTGCTGTAAGCTTGAATGTGTGGATGGTGTAATGGATAATGACTTGGAATTGTTAATTGGAGAGCCAACGTCCAGTTATAATTAGGTGCATTATATTCACTTATGCACAAATACCTTTGGGAAATGTACGAATCCACCTCTTCTCCCCTAGTTATGGGTTAATTAGTAAAACTTGTATCACTAAATCATTATTATTTACAATCTAAAAACAAAAATACTTTCTGGCTTTAAATAACCTGCAAAGTGTTGATAAGCCTTAGAAAAGTAATCAATCAATAAACAACCATGGCTAATACTGAATATAACCGTGTTTTTTGTAAGTTTTCTAACATTAAAAAGCCATCCTGCCACAAGGAAACATTTCCCCACCCACACCATCTTACTACCAGTGGTCCACCAATCCACAGTCATCCATGGAGACTTGCACTAGATATGCTGCAAATGGCAAAAGCTGAATTTAGCCAAATGATGCAACTTGGCATCATGTGCCATTCACATAGCAACTGTACTTCTTCATTGAATCTCATTATAAAAAGAATTAGTATTTGGTGTGCTTATGATGATTATAAGGTCCTCAACTCTGTCACAAAACTAGATAGCTACCCTATTCTTCATATCAACAATAGCACAACAATTGTCCAAAGTAAATATGTTTTCACTAAACCGAACCTCATCAGAGCCTACAACCAAACCATGGCTGTGTGCTTATATAGATGATGGGCTTATCGCCAGCCCATCTATGTAAGATTTTTCTATAGATTTCTGCACATTTCCTATGGTAATTGTTCTGATGAATTTTCCTCTGTGGTACCTAAACGATGAATTGAAGCATTGTACAAGATTGGCAGAATGGTCTCACCATTTTACAATTGAAATGGCTAAATGTAACTGCATATTCTATGGTAACAGTTTCTTCTATCACATTTCTCACTTGTGGAACTATTATGGCTTCTTTCTTCCCAGTCAACTTTGATATTCTGTCTTCTTAAGTCTTATTCTTTTTATGTCCTCTTTCTTTAATAGTATATTTTTCTCATATTCTCTAACACTTAGTAACCTTGCCTTGCATCTTAGTGGCTTTATTGCCTTGCTTGGAGTGAAATTATGAAAAAAAGGCATATGTCTAATAGCAACAGCTCATTTTTTTACCCTTTTCAAAATTCTAGAGTAAGTAAATGTGAGTTTGATAAATCCATTGTCATTTTTGTAGGACATCATATAAGTACCACTTTCATTTCTTCTTCAAAGGTAACAGTTATTTCTAATTTTCCTATACCTCACACCAAGAGAAAATTATACCAATTCTTAGGGATGTTTAATTTCTATTGCAGATTTCTACAAGTGTGTTAAAACCTTTAACAGACATTTTAAAAAAATGATGAAAATTGTGACCCCCCTACCCTCGCAGTTTACTTAAAATTAAATCTTTGTCTCATCCAGCAAAATTGTTGCATGTTAAATTAGACAAAGAATTGTCTTTTGATGATTGGTAGTTCTTCCATTGATGTGGGTATAGCATTGTTGTAAATGATCAATGAATCCAATTTCTTTATTTTCTATGAAATTGCCACCTACACAGGCTAGATACAGTATCTTCAAACAAGAATTAGCAGTTTATTTGGCAGTACAATATTTTCAATAGTTATTGGAGGGTGCACACCTTCCACATCCTGACTGACCCTAAACCCTTGCTCAGAGCATTCCAATAACTTCAGACAAATACTCCAATTGCAAGATAAGACATTTGGATTATTTGATCTAGTTTACCTCAGATATCTGTTTTATTAAAGGGGAAGATGACATTGTTGCAGATGCTATGTCTCAGAACTTCAATGTCCTCCTTTTAGACACTTGAACAGAATACCAAAGAAAGGATCAGTAACTACAATCCTTTTTATTAAATAAGTCTTTATCATTGAAACTTGTTAAAATGACAACCCAAAAATTGTACTTGATACTAACACTGATCAACTACATTCCTTTATTCCTATGTATTTGTGGCATACCTTTTTCTTCATACTTCCTAACTTCTTTCATTGAGCTAATCACATGAATATTTGGCTTTGGACAAAAAAAACTTGTTGAATGGCAAAGAGCTAAATTTGGTAGACACACTCACACACTTTCCCATTCTTTTCCATCAAGACAATATTTCTTCCACACTCTTTAGAAAGTCATAAACCCCATTTCTTTTGCCAATCATGTGAAAGTCAAGATGGCAAACAAACCCCCTACATCCACTCAACTTTTAGAATATTATAAACATGTTTTTTTATGCAATTCTGCTAAGACACACACCCCACAATGACCTTCCAGATCTTCAAAAGACATCACAAATATCACAAGTATGTAGACCAGAATATCTCTTTCAAGAGACTAAAGAATGTCTTTTTCTATAGTTAAGTGGTTGCACGTGGATACTCAAATGATGTCTAGGGATACAAAAGGTGATTAGAGAGATGCAATCACATGGGTCATGTGACAGCTACTTAATGATGTCATTGCATAATGAGGAAAGTGGCAGTCAATCAGCTTCAAAGTGTCAAAGAGAATAGTGGATTTCTTAGCTCAGGCTGAGAGGACCAATCTAAGGCTACATCTGCCTCAGCTATATGGAGCAGCTTACAAGCCTCTTGCACCATTTTTCTATGGAAATACATCTTCATCAGATATAGAAATTATCTCCAGTTTGCAGTCATCATGTTGGAAAAAACCCAAGATTTACCATTGCCAACCCACTTGAATCTAAAATCCTAAATATAGCTTCTCCAGAAACACAGAAGAATCTCCATATTTTATGTAAGACCCTATTTTTTGTTCCCCTTTCACTCTGCTTGTTATGTAGATATGTGTTATATTTTCTCTGTAAATATATCTATATACTTTTGTACATGACTTAGTGGTACAAAGATCTCTTGATCTCTGAGATTAAAGTATGTTTTTCATTCAGCTATACCATTCTGTCCATGAAATATGTGTTATTATGTCATGGATATAATAATAACCATAATAGGGGAAATGTAAATGGGAGAATAAACATTTCCTCCATAGCTCACCCATTATCTAGGTCAGCCTGACATGACATTATTTACCTCCATTAACTGGTAACCATGATGTGACATATTATTAGTACTGTTATATTAAGTGTATGGTGGCAAAAACAAGAAGAAACAACAGAGGTTTAAGAAATAAATAATTGTATTAACAAAAAATACAATGAATGGTGAAGTGGTATGAAAGTCTTTCATTAAAAGAAAGAAATAAGTAAAGCCGTCCGCAAAGGCTTACGGTAGGAGAAGGAGGGTCAGTCATGACTTACTGTGGCAACGGTCTTTGGTGAGTTGTCCTTGGAGATGAGAGGCCAGTTGTCTTTGGGCATGGAGGTGATGTTCTAACGAGTGTGTGAACCCTGGCTGTTGTGCAAACCGATTCTTTGATGGGCTTTTATGTCCTCTCGTAGACTCAGATCAGCTCCAATCCCTATTTCACTTCTTTAGGTGAGAGTGGATGCTACTGGGTAAAAAATTGGATTGTATATTTGGGGGGGGGAAGCGGAGGTGTCTGCAGAGTCAATGTGTGTTTGATGGAATTTTTAGTTCAGTCTTGGGTTTCAGAGTGTTCACATCTGGCCAGTGTTGGAAATTTGTGTAACATGAATCAGAAGATCTGATTTAGGAAGATTATAACCGTACTCTCATTAGATGTTTTCCATCCTATGTAGTGATGGCTGTGCCAAAATAGACAGTGGCATGGTTTGTTCATTAGTCTAAATGTCTGTTGTGTTAATCCACCTTGTTTTGCCAATTCAGTTACAGATCTCAAAACTAGTTTTCTTATATTATAGCTCAAATTTACCAAGAATGTTTTTCTTTCTTCAATATTTGTGTATGGATCCTTTTTAAACTGTTTAGATGGTTTTTGACATGTTTATACATTTTGTGTGTTGGCTCTTAGTTTCAGTTTAGACAAATTTGTTCAGGTTATGATACTTTAATCTTAAATGGCAAATTTTAAAAACCGGTTTCCTTTTTGTTTCTTATTAAACTCTGCTTTTCTGTATAGATATATATATATCATTCTCTGCATGAGGCATGTGTTAATATGTGTATATAATTTTGTCAGTATTATAAAAGTCTCTGAGAACAAAGCATGTTTGTAATTCTTTTTCCTTTCAGCCATTCTGTTCCATCCGTAAAATATAGGTGTCCACAACAGGAGTGGGTTATAGATTCAAAAGGGAGAATAAACTTTTCCTCTCTAGCTCCCATTACAACTGTAAAATTCTAATCATTAAATTAACAGAAATAATTATTATTTGAAAACATTTTGTTTTATATTTTTCTGTTTTCCTGTTAAACCAGTTGACCAAATTTTTACTTCTATCTCAACATTTTTAAAAACAGTGTCAGATTAATATCAGATTTAAGATGTAAAATAATGGATGTTATATTTATAGCCTTCTTTCTTTATTTTATACCTTTCTCTCTTTTTCTTTCAGCAAAACAATAAAATGCCTGTTTCCATTACACAAGCAACAAGCTTTAGCATATTACACAGCCAAGCAACTCAGAAGTGTACAAAGATAATTTGTTTGGGCTATATACAATAAAGTGCTAATCACAAAAAAAGAAAAAAATAATAATGAAAATTAATCTCACAATACAAAGTTGACGCTAACAAATTACTGTCAATTTGTAAAAAAAAACATAACACATGATCTTTGGACTAACAACATTTTTTAATCTCAAACTATCTGAATACTGTATTCAAGTTTCCTGTAAAGTGCCATAATTACCGGGGGTTCAACCAACCCACCCATTACACACACGTAACAAGAGACCTCTGCCCACAAAAATGTAATAATAACTTGTCTAGTTATTCACACTTCAACACATTTGCTGGTGTCAAGATTTAACTTTTTTAGGTGGATTATTCACAGTAAATTACAATCTTCTACACGAAGATTAAAAATGGATGAAAGACCAACAAATTATTAACCAATTTAAAAAAAAAAAAAAAAACAAGTCAAGCAACTAAAAATACAGAGTACAGTACAATTTTCGGAAATTGGGGAGAAAAAAATTAAAAACAAAAATTGCAAGCTACTCCGTTTCCCACAATTAATGTAATGACAACAGTCTGCAAGTGACTCTTCTAAAAACGAAATAATAACATTGAACAAAACTTTTCCTTTCGATTTTTAAATTCAAAAACAGGTGTTTTATTTTTAATTAATTTTAAAAATATCACTTTATTTCCCATTAGTTTTTCAAATTTAAAACAAATACATCTTTCTTTATTCAATAATAAAGTTTATTGTTTTGTTGATAAGGAATATTGAAGGATTAAGTAAAAATCACTAAATAAATAGGTATGCATTTTTTTGTCTAGTGATGATGAAGATCTGTCACCTTCTGAATCGTTGTACCGAAGAAGAGGAACCGAAAGACCAAAAAGGCAGAAAAAAAAATTATCTTCAGCACAGTCTAAGAGAAAGACATTTCAAAATAAGAATATTTCAATGAAATGCGTTATTTTTATTTTATTTATTTATTAGCAAACTGAAAGTAAAAACCTAATAATTTTGAATTAAAGAAAATAGTTTTTAAAAAGTTAGGTTTTTGAGGTCATGACATTTTTTAAAAATAAAAAGTCATTTGTTTTCATTTTTAAAGCCGGAATGTCGCGAATAGGAATAATAAATTTCTCGTGTCATTTACGTTTTTACTTTTTTTAACCTTTTTTTAGAGCAAGAATTTCTTCAACAAAATTTTTTTCAAAGATTTAATTTTTTAAGTCTTCGTATTTAAAGACTTTTTTGTCTCTTTTTTTCATCACCATTCAAGCGTCTTTTTGTTGAACTTTTTGTTTCAAATTAAATTGTCTTTTTTTAAAATAACGACTGTAAGTGATATTTTATTCCTTTGTTGTGGTTGTTTTTTTTTGTATTTTTACTAGTTTTTAAACTTTTGATGATGTTAATTTAACTTAGATATTGATCCCTAATTAAATACACAGTACGGAAGAAACAGCAGACGAATTTTATCTACATTCGCCAAACAAAAAAAAGAAAGAAAAAACATTAAAACTCTAGGTTTTTAAATCACTTTTATTTTGAATAAAAAAAAAAGTTTGATCGCTTGAGATGAAGCAACTTCCTCCTGATCAGAATTCAAAATTTTGTTTTTATATTTTAGTAAAATATAATTTAGTAACAAATGTCACTAACATAGCACTGTAAAGGTGATGAATTTATGTACTCTGCAAGTTCATGGGGTAGAAGAATAAATAAATTGCAAAAATAAAATTCAGTTCTCTAAAGTCGTAACAACTGTTTGGTAAACTAACTTAAATAAAAATAAAAACATTTTTTTAAGTCAGCTAAGAAGACATACTGGCTTCACGGAAATAAACAAGAATGTGTAGATTACGCAGTCCAACTCTGGATTCAAATTATAAAATACACCAGAAAATTTTATTAATAATAATTTACTCAAATAAAAATCCGAAAAGGTTGAATGTATCGTTGAAGGTGATGGTCACGCCGAGGCAAAACACCCTTGACCCTTTAACTTTTAAAATAAAATGTTTTCTCGGCAGACAACAGCCGCAATAAAAACACAAATAATTAAAGATGTATAAAACGTGAGACAGCTTCCTTACCTTCTCGTAATTTCTTTTTCATAATCTTTGAGGTAAGGATCCAGGGAAAATAGCTTCTCCACATCGATTTGTACTTCACTGCTGCACGCCATGACGTTTTTTACTTTAGTGAAACCGAAAGTCAAGGTCGTTACCGGGTAAAATTAACTGAAGGGAATGTGATGACGTAACACCGCTTTAGTTGCGTAGCCGGTGAAAGTTGAAATAGTATTAAAGTCCGCCTAGAGTAGTATGTTAATTTTTTACAAATTATTGATAGTGAATTCAATGTTTTTGTACTGCAGACTGGTGTATAAAGCGTTAAATTTACAAGTTGTAGCTAATAATTATTACAGACAGAAGTATTTTCTCGCTTATCCACCTGATGCGAAATCTGACACAAAAAAAAGGTCAGTTTTCGTTTTTACTTGACTGCGCTTAGAAAAAATGTGTTCATAATTGAAAAAAAAGTCCACTTTTTTCTTTCGTTGCTACCTTCTGTAGATTGTGGCTGCAGAGATAGGATACTCTCAGGGACACCATCCACTGCATCAACCCTATACTGATGCCAGTGTAGACCTCTTGTGTGGAGCATAGAGTTGGTGCATAAACTCTGACAAGGTAGACATTTACTTCAGAAGTATAGAGTCAAAGTGAGTAGGTTTGCTCTGATCCATACTTGACAAGTTCCATTATACTCGACAAAGAGTTTTTCACATCAAAGCCAACACTATGCTCTTTAATATCATCCTTGCCTTTTCCCTGCCAGAAGAAAGTCTACTCTCTCTCTCATTATGTAAAGCATCCAATAGAAGTCATTAGGTTCATAAATACTAATAAGTTACAGGATGTCATTCCAATTTTGTTGGTTGCATTGAATGCTTATTATACTCATTATTGTGGCCACCAGAGAGAAAAGCTTTAGTAAACTAAAGCTTATAAAAAGATACTTGCAGTCATTCATGACTCATGACAGATTACATTATTTGACTATTTTGTCAATAGAAAATCATCTTGTAAAGAATATAGGTGTAGAAAGTGCCATGAAAAGATTTTCAGATCTAAAACTAGAAAAATGTTTTAGGCAAGATCATGAATGTTTTCTTTAGCTCTATATAAGCTACTGTGAGTTGATCGCAAATCAGTGGCGGATCCTCGTAATTTCCCTCAAGCCCCTGGGGTCATAACATGCGTCAACACACGGGTGGGTACCTGAAAGTTTGGTACCATCTTTTTGAATGCAAGGACGTATTCCCGGACATAAGAATAATAGAATCGGGAACGCCCAACCTAAAAAAAAAACTGTGTAAATTCTGTGCAGGGAGGGTCCACGTATTACTCCATCCCTCGGTATATAGGACAGTTAAACTAACATACCCTATGGACGTCTACGGGATTGTCTCGGATGACGACAGAATTGGGTACAGGGAGCCTGGGACAGTCCGTCGGGGTCCTGACCTCCGCAGATTTCCGTATGCGAATAGGGGAACTGTTAGAATTTTTCCTTTCTCGTTTCAGACTTAAAAGATGTCTATTAAGATAACCAGCCTGAATGCGAATGGCTTGAGGGATCGGGGTAAGGAGCCCACCTCCTCCGTGACCTCTTGTCGTTTAGAGTGGACGACGCCGCAATCCAAGAGACCCACTTTGTTTGCAGCGTCGATGCGTGCGTGCTGTCAAAAGACTTTGTCGTCTATTCAACATATAGAGATCGACATGCCAGAGGAGCTTCTTTGCTGATTAGGCGTACCCTCGATGTGAAGGTGGACCTTATTCATGTTAATGCCGAGGGCCGGTTGATCGTGGCTGATATTGCCGTAAAAAGTGATTCGTTTCGGGTCGTTGCGGTTTATGCGCCAGGAGGAGCGGATGTTGTTTTTTCGGCAGTTGGGGACGTTCCTGTGGATTCAACGCACCTAGTCTTAATGGGGGACTGGAATGCTGCCCTGGGCCCCAAGTTAGATAGGGAGGGGGGATCTAGCTGGCGGGGTCAGGCGATCGTAGCTTGGTTGATCTGATCGACAAGTTTGGTCTCGTCGATAAATACCGGGTCGATCACTCCGCGGGAAGATGTGGACGTGGGCCCTTAATTGGCCTTCTACCCAGGTGATTAACTACCTGGATAGAATGTTAGTTAGAGGAGCTGATGTAGATTTGTTAGATTGTCCCACGTTCCACTGGGTAGGCTATTCGGACCACAAACTCATTTTTGCCAGTATGGTGTTAGATTGTAGGCCTAGAATGGCTGGGTACTGGAGGTTCAATCTGTCTTTACTGGACAGGTGGGACTTCCATAAACAGCTAACTAGCTTAGTGCAGCGGGAATGAGTGCTGGGAGAGGCTTAAGGATAGGATTAGGTCCTTCACCACCGAGTTTAGCAAACGGATCGCACTAGATAAAGCTAAGAAGGTGAAGGCTCTTAAGGATGGTTTTTCCCGGGTGGTGGCTGGGAGGATCCCCCTAGAGATAGTCTTAGCTAGGGAGGCCCTGTAGCGTTTGACTAGCGAGCGCTACATGGGCCAGGTAATTAGACATAGGTTAAGCAAGATGTCTTCCGAAGCTGTGAATATGGGCGCAGAATTGCGCAAGGAAAAGATCTGTCGAGGTTCCGGTCGCTACATTCGTGAAGTCAAAACCCCAGAGGGGCAGACTCTTCGGGCCACTGACGACATATGCGAGGTTTTCGGCAGCATTTCAAGAGCAGGTTTACCAAGGAGCCTGGTTTCCGTGACAAGGAGTTTCGTAGCTATTTGGCTGATTTTCCGACTGAAGCGGCTAGCTGCGAGGGAGAGATCACGGAAGCCGAAGTCTACGGGGCATTGAAGAAAGTCAGCAGAGGCAAGTCGCCCAGTTTGGATGGTTTGCCCTGTGAATTGTACTTGAGGCTGTCGCACAACTTTGCCCCGATTTTGAATGTCGTGTTCAACAACTGGTTCCGGCAGGGGTCCGTCCCCGACCGGTTCACGCTGTTGAAAAAGGGCAAGTTTGCTGGGCGGGATTTAGATGACTATAGGCCCATAACTCTTCTAAACACAGAGTTAAAGATTTTGGCCAAGATTCTGCAAGAGCGTTTGCAGTCATTTGCTGAGTCTCTGTTGGGTCCAGGTCTCTGTGAAGGGCCGAACAATTCAGAGCAACCTGCATCTGATCCGCACAATAATAGAGAGTGTAAAAATCGACGATGAGGCCGCGCTGATCAATTTAAATCAGCCCAAGGCATTTGATGGGGTTGACCATCGCTACCTGGCTGCTGTCATGCAGGCCGCTGGATTCGAACCCAACTTCACCGCTGGATTTTCCGGAGCCTTTTGGTTGGACGGACGGTCCTGTCCGCATTCTTGGAATGTGGTTTTGGACCCAACCTTCAGCTGGAGAAAAATTGGTTAGAAGTACAAGCAAAGGTCGACGCGGCTGGTCAGATTTGGCGTCGACGGAAGTTGTCGGTGAAGGGCAGGGCGGAGGTTTGTGCCACTTACGTCTTCTCGATTGTCCATTGTCTGTACTTCCCCTCTGTAAGCGACGTAAGAAGGCGCTTGATATCCTCAGGTTTTTTTGGTGGGGGGGGGGGATACAAGCATAAAGTCGGTGACGGATGAGTTTTTATGGTGAATGCGCAAATTGTAATGTGTGAATGGGTCGTGAATCCGATTAGATAGGATAGTCAGTGTGATGAAAAGAGACCTTTTTAGAAAGTTGAATATTAAGGTTTTATTCAACATAAAAAGCATACACTGTTACCAGTTACATAGAAGATATGAACGAACGCCAGAGAGAGAAAAATAGAGGCGTCCCACCGTTATTTATAAACTCAAAATCACGTGACGTGAACCAACGCGAAATCACACAACAGTTCGTATGCAGATAAGTAGAAGGTATTAAATAATTAAATGAATGAATACAAAGAATTATAAGTATATCGCAACAGTCAGTGAAGACCAGCCTCAAACTTTTCCCCCTTTTCGGCCTTGTGCCATAATTGTATTTATTTACAATAAATATACAGTGAATAGATTGAGCGCTAGTTCATTCGATACACTCTCACTAGTCGTGTAATACTCTTCTGGTGTACTTACTGTTTAATATATGATATGTAAACCTGCTTTTTGTTATTACTTTTAACCATTTACTTGGTCACAACAATATGTTATTGTAGCGACGGGGTTACCAATATTGAAGCGGGTTGTCACCATTATGTAAGGGTGTGTACTACATACATTTAACTTTGGCTAGGAAAGGTGGGATTAAGGACAATGCGTGGACGCAATGCAATTTATATTTGACGTAAATAGCACATAGTATAAAATACAAAACAGAATGTAATGATTCAAAAACATAATTGAATTTATTAGTGTTTGTTGTACAAGCAAATAAGCTGAAGGTGTGATAGAGTTATGTCTCTTAGATTGGGAAATATTTGTACCTGAGTCTTAAAGATGAAGTATTTATTAAACTGTAGTTTAGAAGAATAAAGCTCCTTTAGCATGTTAAGAATTGTGGATTGGTAAAGTTGGTAATAGTTCAGAAGAGATTTTAGAGTTCGTACTTGCGTGGAATGGTAATGTTCTTTAATGTCTGACTGCATGGTCAAGACGGGAGTTCTTGAAGATTACATCTTGGCAGCAAGGAGAAAGATGAATGAAAAACCGAAGAGAGAGAGCTTACATGTGTTTTGTTTATATAAGATCCTGTATCACATGACCGGTTCAGATCGAAAACGCGGGAAAACAGATTTGTCGCGTGCAGGCGGTTTGATTGGTCAAAACTGACCAATCAGCGAGCTAGTTTTGAGTAGATTGACCAATGAATGCTTCTCGCATGGTTTCTATGTACTGTGTTTATATAATGGTCGTGGTGTGATTCTACAATGTATAAAAGACAGTTTGATATATTTTGCATTTGCTGGTGACCCAGAATCATCAGAAAAACTATTTTATTCTACAATACCAAAATCTACATTAGTGATGTGGGGCCAAAGTTGGGACCACAGAAGGAAAACACGAAACACGGATTAGATGTAAGAAAGATATATTAACAACAGGTTACAGAGATAGTGTAAGTGGAACTTACTATAAATTAGTGTCCAACACTGGTAGTCGTACTAGACTCTCACTG